AAAAAACAGACAATTTGCGTCGGCTCGAATGGTGTGTTGTGAGCGGGCGCCGCTCGTCTCTGGCTTTAAAGTTAGCGACGCGTAATTAAAGATTCGCACTGCATTTACAAAAGCTCACGATTTAAAATGTCACTCCTGGAGAATGTCTTCTTTCCCTTCAAGATTGTATCCCAGTAAGGTGCGACTGTTTGGGGGGGGGAGTGGTTAGCGCAGTGATGAGCGCACTGCGCTTCGAATCCACTGACTCTGAGTTCTATTCCAGGCCACGGCTATCATCAATGATGATAATCTGAACCGGTGAAGGCACGGGGAGGCTTTAGGCCACCACTGATGATGGATTGACACAGGGCTGTATAATATTTAGAATTTTCGTTTTATTTCATAACATTAAAAGTACCTCCATTCTGTCTATTGGCATATAGGCCTTCCACACATGTTCATCATCATCATCATCAGCAGCAGTTGTTTAAGGAAATACTGGACTAATTTCGATCCTTTAGGTCTCATCAGCAGCCAGTCTTGTCATGCATATACAGCTGGTTTGCCCATATGTTGTTGACCAAAGTACTCCCTCTTCACTACTGGGCCCATCAAACAACAGCCCACGTTCTTTAATCTGCAAGTGTTTGACGTCATTAGCCCTTTCGCATAACAAAAAAAGTGTCTAAGTGTGGTTTCGTTGATGTTATTTGACCATACTCCACCACGGTCGTCCGTGCGCGTTGGTGAAGGTTGGGGGGGGGGGGGGGGGGCGATTCAGATATCACTCGAACTCGCCACTGATGCTGGCCAATGGCTTGATATTAATTGACTCACGTCGCTGGTTTCATAGCGCGGTGTCCCGATCCACCTACACGCGTACGCTCGGCGTCACATTCTCAAAACGCTTTTGACTGTTCAGCGGGGGCTACCTCCTTGCACGGGACCAGCGGCTACCTTAAGCTCAGACTTAACAGAGCGAGTGCATTTCAGAGGCGGATTATTCTTATTGGCGGCGTAACCGTTCGCATACCCTCCGCTCTGAGTTCAATTGTCGCGATAAAGTCTCCATCTCACCAGATTTTCCGGATTATAAAACGCAACTCCCCCCCCCACCCTGCCTCCGTATTTTAAAACGATAATTGAGAGACGCTTCCTCAAATCGGGCACGTGTGTGTGTGTGCGTAACCAGATTTGTTGTCAGGTTAAGTTAATTTTATTTGTGGGAAAAGAGCTGTACAGCTCGTCGGATTCCTCCGGTATAAATGCAGGTTTTGATCCTACAAGGGAGACCCGCGGTGCGTTAGCACAGCGACAACAGAGCAAAGACACAAGAACGTCAACGATATTGCAGAGAGTGAGGACTGTGCACGCTCCTTAAGGGATATTGCACAATTAACAAAACGAGGTATTTAACGGTCGTAAACGAAACACACGCGAATAAAAACGACAACAACAACAGAATGATAGCTTTATTAACACCGATAACATGAGCTTTGCTTTCCAGAACGTCTTATAATCCGGAGAATACGGATATTAAATACCATTATCGATGCTCTATTTTCCCGTGTTTACCTTCTTTGTATTGGTTCTTTGGACTTTTATTTATTTCTGTCTCGTTTGTACAAACGTGCGCTCCATTATCCTAAATGTAACACAAGCATGCCATCATCAGCCATGCTCTATATACTGTTGCCTAAATAAGGCAAAGTGTAGAAACTGTCTAACGATCTGGCCTCTCTACGTGCTGTGAAGGAGGGTTGTAACCCGAAACGTCACTTGGCATACACTTTTTTTAAGTCAGTTTTGTTTTTTTGACGAAGGCGTTGACGTTTTTCTGGTGCATACTCACGCTGGTTCTGAAGTTACGAGATCGGAGAGGATGCAGAGTATGTCAGTGACGTCGCACGACAAGGACCAGGAGGATGTTTGTTGAGGCCTCTTTTATACGCTTTCATTTAACTCACTCTGTCTGTTGTTGTCGTTGTTGTTGTTGTTGTCATTGTTGTCGTTGTTGTTGTAGCCTCAAATCTTGTAACTCAATTTTAACCCACTTCCCAATGTGGTATCGACTGCAAACTTGGTATACTTATGTCATACTGATGACAATACTATATTCCATCATATAAAAAAATATTATATCTTTTTAAACATTATTTTTTTTATATGTTATGTTTCGGCTTGGGTCTAATTGTCCACGCTCAACTGACGTTGGCTGTAATTGGCCACGGCCCCTTTACGTTGTGGCAAGCTTCGGGGCCACTTCCTGAAGTCGTGGAGTTCTGCCATTACTACAGTACATTTCATTAAAGCGTGTTTGAATATTTTTTTTAAGTATTACTTATTTCAAGGGAGATCTGGATAAACAACCGCACACCTCGAGAGCAAAACAGGCGCAAATTATTCGAAACGCCGATATTAAATACATTACACGGGGACAATTATTTATTCAGTAGCATAGAACGCGTGATCAAATATGCAGCATCCACGCACAAACACGACAGCCTGAAATTAACGCGCATGATCTGGCGTGGATAATAAATAGTGTCCACATTCAAGCATCGCTCATTATTCTTCATCAGCAACAGCAATGATTTATCCACTGCTGGATGAAGACCTCCTCCCAAAGCCATCGTAAACGTCTCAGAGCCTGTATATATTGGCATTCAAATCTGCCAAGCGAGTCGATCGCTTTGCCCTCCCTATATTTTTGCCGAAGAAGGGCAGTTGCTTGAAACGTCAGTCTACTATGAATCGCCATCTCCCACGTCCTTGGCGAAGCAGCATCCCATTTTAGCTCTTTGCACAGGAGCTGATTTCACCCATCGTTAACGCGTTCGAATCACACAGCAGGCGAGCTCGGCATTGGTGGATCCTGGGGGAATGGGGGGCTGGGTCCGCGAAAATTAATGTTATTGATATTGACCAGATTAAATAATGCAATGTGTTATTTTATGTTTTATTTGTTTATTATTAATGTACGGCCATATATATTTTAAAGCTCGATATTTCAGGCCAGCTCCTCCTTCCCCCCTGGGACGTTTGTAGATCCCGCGTCTGAAGCTTGGTCAATCAGAATTTGTATTTACACTGGAGGAACCCGATGAGCTTCAGAGCTCATTTTCACAGACGTAGATAGAGCACGGCATGATGATGGCATGCTTATGTTACATTTAGGATAATGGAGCGCACGTTTGTGCAATATTCAACTAAACGCACGCGCGTTCGGCAAAGTGTCAGCAAGTGTCGCGAGGGGACGCACGTCTCTCGGCTGTGGTTGTTTGGAACGACGCTTCTGATCGGTGCCTTTGAAGATTCACTCAAAGCATCTCCTATTCAAAAACCCACCTCCACCACCCGAGTTCGATTCTCTGCCACGGCTGTTCATGAGTTTCGAGGGATGTCTGCACCGCTCTTGCTTGCTCCGGAGAGGCCGCAACTTCACCGACCGGCGTGGTGAGAAGTATGGTCAAAGAGCCCGTACATCCGTCAAATCGAGAGAGAGGCCTTCATCCAGCAGTGCACTGGGAAAATGCCTGCTCAGTACATTATTTTCATTGCCAATATATATGCATATACAAAGACATCTTCCAATGCGTCTGGACAGCGTTGAAGAGTAGGCCAAATATCATTCAGCCTCTCCGCGCAAAGCCCAACCGCCGCCTCCAATTCTCTGCGATCGGACGACGCCTCGCAGGAGTCCGCATCGGAGCAGCCCCGGGTGGATTGAGCGCCGATAATGATTTCGTTGCAGACCTTTGGTCATCCCCGCCCGCTCCGCAATCGGACGAAAGAGCGCTAACTGCTGACGGCCCCCCGTCAAATAACAGGCTGTAGGGGCAAGTGCTGTTAGCGAGCACCTACGAAAGCCAGAACGGCACACGGAGGGGATGGGTGGCCAGCACCACGCCCGGCCGCCTTTGTCTCCCCAGTGGCGATGTTTTTTTTACGCACCGCACCAGGTACTCATTTGAGGCTGAGTCGACCTAGGGGAGGCCCAGAACCGGTGCAGATAATCGTCACCGGCGTTGGCCGTGAGCGAGAATCGAACCCGGGTCGCCAGGTTCGTAGCGCACGCAGCGCGCTGACCGCTGCACCACCGCTCTCACACTCTCACACCGTCGTAATTGAAACGTGACATCCCTTAGAACAAACACGAATGGATGACATGGTTATTGGGAGGGACGGTGTGGAGGCGTGGGGCTGTTGGCGGCGTGTGTGTGTGGGGGGATGTTACAGGGGAGCGGTGCCGCAGTGCGTTCAGGTTCAATTCCCGGTCACGGCTAACATGGGTGGTGAGTGATACCTGAACCGATTCTGCGCCGTCCCTTGATGGGTCTACTTAGCCTTAATCGAGTACATGGTGCGGTGTGTAAACATCAAAGGCGGACGGGTTTGACTAGGTGTTTCGTCAATTGTACGTGTTCCCCATATATTGTTTTATTTAGTTGGTTAAGCACGTCAGTATTTTCCGCGGATTATTACTACTTCACAGAAGCGTATAGGGGAGGCCTTCATCCAGCAGTGGATTGATCATGGCTGAGGATGATGAGGATGGTATTTATTTCCGCTGCTGTCATTTGTTCTGGACTTATTTTGGGTCTACGTGCGTATACTGTGCACGCATGCGCCGATATGGCCTTAATAGGTGCTCGCAAAACAGAGCACTTGCCCCAACATTCTACAGGATGGTTCAGGTGTCTTGTGACCCCCATCTAATGATCTAAAACGTAAACAGAAATGAAAATGCAAAGGAAATAAATATTAGATGGGTAATTAACTGGGGGTCACTAGACATCTGGACTAACCTGTACAGTACATATGAGGCTATTTATAAGAAAGAACCCCCCCCCCCCCACAAAATATGTAATAAGCGACGTTTTGGGCAGGGGCCCTTCATAGTCGATGGATGGCCCTCCTTAACAGGACGCAAGGGCACATATTAGGCGGGGGAATGTTTGTCTTCGAGGGGGTAGGGGTTGGGCCGTGCTCGCGATTGGAAGCTGACAGCAGCCGTTTCGTGCGCCGCAAGCTCCTCCCATGCATAAAGCCACCGTGGGTCTCTGCTCCGGACTCCAGAGTGAGTTCCCCACCGTGTGTGTGAGAGTGTGTGTCTGTCTTCTCTCCGCGGGATGTGTGCTCGCCTACCTCCGATTAGCACTGACGACGTGGTGCCCCAGAACCTTTGAGCAAGGTAAGACAGGGGTGGGTGGGTTGGTGGTGCTGCGGTAGACGCTCGCGAACAGCACTTGCCCCAGCAGTCTGTTAAGGCTATACGGGGGAGCTTTGTCTTTTTTTGGTGCTGCGGTTCTTATCGTTTGGTGTTCTTTCCTTTAAACGTTTCGTCCCCCCCCCCTGTTTTAGTGATGTAGTTTGTAATCGGTTGTGTGTGTGCGGGGGATAATGTTATATGGGCAGTTAAGCATAGCACGATGTGTTCATGTGTAACTAATTTCGTAAAGGTGCTTACACAATGTACTGCCGTGATGAGTGCAATGCCGCACACGTTGTAGAATATCAGTTTATATGTTTTTTTTATAGACGTATCCACTTAACCCAGTAAACATGGAACGTTGGGCCAACGTTGGTCCAACAGTTCCAACCACATGCCAAACAAAGTTGGCCCAGCGTCGCATGTTTACTGTGTTGTACGAGGGTGCTTCCGTGGGGTCATGGTTTAGCACGCCGGACCTGCAACTCAGACGGCAAAGTAATGGATGATGTTTCTTAAGTATTCCCTCGATCCACTCAGTTTTTATGAATGGGTACACCATAGTCGATGAGCAAGCAGGTCGTATGCCGTGGGATAAAGCTTGGGCACATCACCCACGTCTTCCAATGCGTCCGGCCAGCGTTGAAGAATTTGCCAAGTACCCTTTCTAGGGGGGGGGGGAGGCGGTCCATAGTGCTCCCTCTCGAGTAGGCCGTTCCGTCAGCAGTGAGGCGAGCAAAGCCGTTTCAGGGCTGCACCTTCAGCGTTTCGTGCCGTCTACACGCTCGCATTACACCCATGCCTTATGAACTGTTAAACTTCATACGTTGCAGGGTGATTTGTACATCTGGGAGTGAGTGTTGTGTATTCGTGCCCTGTTTGTGGATCAGCAGATGCGTCAGCTTTGGGTATTCCGTGGTCATTGATCTGATTCACATAAAACCTGTGTTTGCACTGTGGCTCAGAGGTGGGTGTTTACCTTTTGGCATCTAGACTGTTTGCTATTTTAGTGTTTACCTGTGCTCTGTGCACACACGCTAATGGCAGGAGCATACTTACCAGCTGTGCCACCCACCACTGGCCCGTCTGGCTATCAGTTGCGTCTGTGTAGGAGGGCCAAGTCAGCATTGCCAGTATCAGTCGTGAGTGGGTTGCCTCTAGGACTTTAGCTCTGTCGAGACTCGTGTCAGACAATCAGTATATAGGATCGCTTCGGAAATGTGTATTCTCTTGTTAATTGCATAAGCGAACACCTTGGTTAGTACAGCCAATACGATCAGATTATTTTGAGTGGCCTAACCCCAATAAATAAAAACCCCAATTATGAATCATTGTTAATTGTACGTTTCCACTTTGACTTATGCATATACAGCCCTTTGGAAATCACTTGCTGGATGAATGCCCCACTACTCTGTTTGTTGGTCAGAATGAAAATTAGACTTTATTTTAACTCTGGATGAATCCGATGAGCTATGAAGCTCTTTTTCGACAGATGTCCAGCCATTAGGGGGAGTGTGTGTTTGTTTGGCCATACTTCACCATCTTGGTCCGTGCGGGTTTGGTGAAGGCGGGCGGGCCCAGGACCGGTTCAGACTGATTCGCCACTGACGTTGGCTGTGTGACATGGGAATCTAAATTTCGATTTAAAGCTTTCGTGACTGCAGGGATTAATCTTCTTGGTTCTTTCGGTAAAGTCACGTAGAATAGAAATAATAAAATAATAAAAATAAAACATAATAAAAGAAAATTCTCACGACGTTTCGGCCACAACACAAGTAGCCTTCCTCAGGTGAAGAAACAGAACTGTCGAAAGACTGTCTTTTCGAACCCAGCAGAGTGTGATCGAAAGACAGTCTTTCCGACAGTTATGTTTCTTCACCTGAGGAAGGCTACTTGTGTTGTGGCCGAAACGTCGTGCGAATTTTATCTTATTATGTTTTATTTTTATTATATTATTATTTCCCTTCTACGTGACTTTACCGAAAGAACCAAGCAGATGGGAATCTAACTTAGGTCGACGGGTTTATAACGGCAGTGTTGCTAACCACCGCGCCACCGCTCCCTCGTAATTGCATTTAAGTTGACATCGACGTGAGGACTTCACTGTGCGAGACCGACAACTCAAAACTAAACCACTTGCATCGTACGGAAAACGACGATACGAGACGTGCCATCGAATTGACTGCGTGTCATTGGAACACAAAGAAAACAAACACCCACACAGCTCTACGCATGCATAGTAACAACACGAACCTTGACGAGCCCAGATGGACTCGTCTTTCCTTGCACGTGAATGTACCGTACCTTCTTTCAATCCGCTGTTGGATGACGTGCGGGGAGTTATTTTTTTTACCATACTTCACCGCACCGGTTCATTGAGCGATGGCGAAGGCGGGAGGAATGTAAGTGCAGTACAACAATGCAGTTTGTTCTAATTCCACCTTCTGTCCACGACGTATGGCCCGCAGCCCCAAATGACAACCGGTTTGAAAGTCGCCCATCCATGCGCTATCCAGGCTTGAAATACCTGCTTCAGCTGTCCGAGGTGAAATGAGATCGAGCGCGCTTTCCAGGTGATCTGGTGGAACATGGACTTGCGATGCGAGTGTCGGACCAGTGCCGGATTATCCTGGTCGCACTTTCAAGGGCCCCGCGCTAAATGCTTTCAAGCTATCAATTCCGGTTCAGTGATTCTGCACTTGCGCTATTACTATAGTACTATACTGCCTTCAACTTTTATGAACAACTGGGTGTTTAAGGTATGATCTGCCTGTATAGCTAATGAAAAAATGCAATTACTTTACTATGCACGTAACATTTTTGTGTTTTTTAATATTTACGTTTTTTTTTTAATTTAGGACCCCTTTATAACATATGCTGCAGGCCCCGCACTAGCTTAATCCGTCACTGTGTAGGACAAACCACATTCAAGGGCACCGTCGGACACGTGTCGCGCCGTGTGTGATCCCAAGCTGGTTTATTTCCCGGCGTTCCATGAACGCGTGAAGCTCATTACCGCACAGCGTTGGTTCTTTGGAAGCATTTCGGAAAGTACCGTATTCCCCTGTATTTAAATAAAACAAAGTTGCAGGGGGGGGGGGTGCGTCTTACTTTCAAGAGCATCGTATAATCCGTAGAATACGGTAACGTAAGTAGACACGCACACCTACGCGTTGTCTATCAACAGATGCCACCTACACTGTTCCAGTCGATATCCATTCGATAGGAGAGTCTTTGCGGAGTCTGTCCATTGGATAGGAGGGGACAGCAAATCTCGTCGGATGCCGCGATTTGCTCGCTCAGCGCTTGCAGCCACAGTTGAAACTTTGGTGGAACTCAGCTGGGTGGTGATGACGGCGACGACGCGAATCGTCGCTTACTCTTTGGGGCCATCCATAAATGACGTCACTAGATTTTGGACGATTTTTGACCCCCCCCCCCCCCCAATCGTCACACGGCGTCACAAAAAGTCAGACCCTCTCTCAAATATGACGTCACAAAGCTCTGCCCCCCCCCCCCCAAAAAAACTATATTTCCATTTTGAAAATAAAACACGCTTCAAATCGCTTTAAACTATTGTCATTGTAGTGCGTATTTAATGTGGCGCTGCACTCTGATGTTGTAGGAGAAAACATGTATTTATAAAAAAAAGTCTATTTAATTAAGTAGAATGTGTTGTCTATATTTATTTAAAGTTGCGCATTTTGATGTGACGTCACATTTCTCAAACCCCCCCGCCTCCCTCGTCACACATCGTCACAAATGTCTGACCCCCCCCCTCCCCCCCCCATGTGCGTGACGTCATTTATGGACGGCCCCTGTGTTGTCCCTCCGGGCTGTTGTCTTGGCTGAGAATTCACCCATCGCCTGAAAACGAACGATGCCCCTCGTCTTGGGCACACATCGGCGGTGTTAATGCTCGCACACGAGGCTTGCTTGCCGAAATGGTCGCTGGTTCGACCTCCTGGCGCGGCAATTTAATTCCCCCACCACCACCACCACCTTAAATTTTGATTTAAAGCTTTCGTGACTGCAGTAATTCATATTCTTAGCTCTTTCGATAAAGTCACGTTGAAGGGAAGCAATAAAATAATAAAATATATATAAAACAATAAAAAAATTCTCACGACGTTTCGACCATAACACAAACGCTCGTTATGGTCGAAACGTCGTGAGAATTTTTTTTATTGTTTTATAGATATTTTATTATTTTATTGTTTCCCTTCAACGTGACTTTACCGAAAGAGCTAAGAATATGCACCACCACCTTGTTGCCTCCATCCACCCAGAAATATCGATCGGTACGCGTTGGGTCGATCGGCAGGTTGTGTGTGGTGGGGAAAAGCGTGGGTACTCGAGCAATTCCAAAGAAACACCTCTGTACGTATGTTGAACTTCTTTCGCACCGTACATAGCCAACCGCGCGAATCGGAGGGGCTCTCTTGAGCTACCTGTAGTGGAGGTCCTTCCGCCAGCATTGGCGTGAGAAAGCATTTGCGGGGCTGCATATTTGTATATATTTTTTTAAGCTACACAGTACGGTATGCATAATCAACAACAGCGTTGATTTTAAATTTTGATTTAAAGCTTTCGTGACTGCAGTAATTCATATTCTTAGTTCTTTCGGTAAAGTCACGTTGAAGGGAAACAACAAAATAATAAAATATATATAAAACAATAAAAATTCTCAACGTGACTTTACCGAAAGAACTAAGCGTTGATTTTGTTTATGGATGGTCCAGTCTTGTGGCTGTTTTTTTTTCTTTCACGTTAACTGTTGTGGGTGATTTTCAAATTTGAGGCAATCGGACCCTTAACGTTGACACGAAACGTTCTTGTCTTGATAAAAACAAATTAAGATGCTGCGTGTGCGAGTCCTGTTGCGTCTTTTAAAAGTCTGCTAATGTACACAATGATGTGCAATAAAGATTGCGAGCCAACAGGCACAACCTGTGAATGCGCGCAGCTATGCCAGCTACGCT